GAGTTTCGCTCTTGTTACCCAGGCTGGAGCGCAATGGCACGATCTCGGCTCACCGCAACCTCCGCCTCCCGGGTTCAGGCAATTCTCCTGCCTCAGCCTCCTGAGTCGCTGGGATTACAGGCACACGCCACCATGCCCAGCTAATTTTTTGTATTTTTAGTAGAGACGGGGTTTCACCATGTTGACCAGGATGGTCTCGATCTCTTGACCTTGTGATCCACCCGCCTCAGCCTCCCACAGTGCTGGGATTACAGGCTTGAGCCACTGCGCCCGGCCAGCTGACTTATATTTTTAAGGAATCACTCAGGCTACTGTGTTGAGAATAAATTCTGGGGATACAAGAATGGAATCAGGGAGACCAATTAGAAGGTGAATATAGTAATCTAGACCAGAAATGATAGTGGCTTAAAACGTGGCAGCAGCATGGGTAGCAAGAAGTGATCAGGTTCTAAGTATATTTCAAAAGTCAACTCACCATGATTTGTTCATGTGGAGTGTGAGAGGAAAAAAAAAAAGAGTGCAGGTGATTTTTGGTCTGATTAGTAGATTGAGATGACATTTACTGAAGGAGAAGCGAGCATGGCAGTGAGGGTGAGACAGAATCGGGAATTTGGTTCTGGACATGGCAAGTTTGTGATGCCTCTAACCATTAAGTGGAGATACAAAATAAGCAGTTGGATATATGAGTCTGGAATGCAAATGAGAGGGCTTGGCTGAAGATATTATAAGCATATAGGTAGTATTTAGAACTAGGAGACTGGATGAGGTCACTTAGGGAGTGAGTGTGGACTGAGGCCTGAAGCACTCCACCTTTTAGAAGTTGGAGAGATGAAAGGAACCAGCAAAAGAGTCTAAGAAGCAACCAGTGAGTCAGGAAACAAACCAAGAGAGTGGTATTCTGGAAACCAGGTACAAAAAGTGTGTCAGAAAGGAGAGCACGTGATCAGCTATCAAATGCTGCTGATGGGTTGAAAAAGATGCCAACTGACCATTAGATTTAGTAACATGGAGTTCATGACTGAACTTGACAAGAGTGTATTTAAAGGAGTGGTAAGGATGAAAAGATTGGAATAGCTTTAAGAGAGAATGGGGAGAGAGGAAATGGAGGCAGTGAATATACACCATTGTTTCAAAGAATTCCATCAGATTTCTTGTTTGATAAGTGGTCCTTCGCTCACCAGTCTCTTCAAAGGGTAGAAGACGTTCCCTGGAGAATTCTGAAATGTAGAACTTTAAAATAATCTCCTGTGATTTCAGAGGGAAAAGACAGTGTTTCTGTTTAATACATTGTTACTATATTTTAACAAGCTGTTTTCAGGTTGACAGGTGCAGCAAACCACCATGGCACTTAAATACCTATGTAACAAGCCTGCACATTCTGCACATGTATCCTGGAACTTAAAGTAAAATTAAAAAAAAAAAAAAAAAAAAAGCTGTTTTCAGCTGGACATGGTGACTCACGCCTATAATCCCAGCACTTTGGGAGGCCGAGGCGGGCAGATCACCTGAGGTAGGGAGTTCGAGACCATCTCAGCCAACATGGTGAAACCCCATTCCCACTAAAAATACAAAAAATTAGCCAGGCGTGGTGGCGGGCACCTACAATCCCAGCCACTTGGGAGGCTGAGGCAGGAGAAGAATTGCTTAAACCCAGGAGGCAGAGGCTGCAGTGAGCCGAGATTGCACCACTGCACTCTAGCCTAGGAGACAGAGTGAGACTCCATCTAAAAAAAAAAAAAAAGCTGTTTTCATATCATCCTAACTTGTGAAATACTATAGGACTGAGAATAATTGTTTGTATCACAATGAAAATCTGAAGCTACAACATTTTTAAAGTATAGGTATACCTTGGAGGTACTGCAGGTTTGGTTCTAGACCACTGCAATAAAGCAAGTGTCATACAATAAGTCACAGAAATTTTATGGTTTCTCAGTGCATAAAAAAGTTGTGTTAACACTATACTCTGTTAAGTGTTGCAGTGGCATTATGTCTTAAAAAAGCAATGTGCATACCATAATTTTAAAATACCCTTTTGTGTGTGTGTGACAGAATCTAGCTCTGTTGTCCAGGCTAGAATGCAGTGGTGCAGTCATTGCTTACAGCAGCCTCAATCTCCTGGGCTCAAGTGATCCTCTCACTCAGCCTCCCAAGTAGTGGGACAGTAGGTGCATGTTTCCATACCTGACTAATTTTTTCCTTTTTTTTTTTTTTTTTTTTTGTAAAAACAGGGTCTCACTATGTTGCCCAGGCTGCCCTTGAACTCCTGGGCTCAAGCAGTCCTCCCGCCTCAGCCTCCCAAAGTGCTGGGATTCCAGGTGTGAACCACTGGGCCTGACCACTAAAACACTTTATTGCTAAAAGATGCTAGTGCTCATCTGAGGCTGCACTCAGTCGTAATCTTATTGTTGGTTGAGGGTCTTGTCTTGATGTTGATAACTGCTGACTGATCAGGGTGGTTGGTTGTTGCTGATGGTTGGGGTAGCTGTGGCAGTTTCCTAAAATAAGACAAAAAATTTTGCCATATTGATTGACTCTTCCTTTCATGAACGATTTCTCTGTAACATGTGATGCTGTCTGATAGCATTTTACCCACAGTAAAACTTTCAAAATCAGAGTAAATCCCCTCAAATTCTGCTGTTGCTTCATTAATTCAGTTTGTGTAATATTCTAAATCTTTTATTGTGATTTCAGCAGTATTCATAGCATCTTCATCAGGAGTAGATTTCATCTCAAGAAACCACTCTTTGCTCATCAATAAGAAGCAACTCTCATCCATTCAAATTTTTTCATGAAATTATAGCAATCAGTTCCATTTTCAGGGTCCACTTTTAATTCTGGTTCTCTTGCTGTTTCTACTGCAAGTTATTTCCTCCACTGAAGTGTTGAACCCTTTAAAGTCATCCATGAGGCTTGGAATCAAGTTCTTCCAAACTTCCATTAATGTTGATAGTTTGACCTCCTCCCATGAATTGCAAGTGCTGTTAATGGTGAAATCATTAAGGTGAAAGTACTTGCAATCTTGAAAGGTGAATTTGTTCCAGGTTTGCAATTTATTTTACCCAGAGCCATCAGATGAATCACCATAGCAGCTGTAGCCTTTCAAAATGTATTTCTTACATAATAAGACCTGAATGTTGAAATGACTCCTTGATCCATGGGCTGTAGAATGGATGTTATCTTAGCAGGCTCGAAAACAGCATTAATCTTGCACATCTCCATTAGAGCTCTTGGGTGACTAGGTGCATTGTCAGTGGGCAACAATAGTTTGAAAGGAATCCTTTTTTTCTGAGCAGTGGGTCTCAACAATGGGCTTAAAATATTCTATAAACCATGCTGTAAACAGATGTGCTGCCATCCAGATTTTACTCTATTTATAGAGCACAGGCAGAGTAGATTTAGCACGATTTTTAAAGGACCCTAAAGTCACTAGCTGAATTAGCTCCTAACAAGGGAGTCAGCCTGTCCTGACTGGGCATGGTGGCTCACGCCTGTAATTCCAGCATTTTGGGAGGCCGAGGCTGGCGGATCACCTCAGGTCAGGAGTTCAAGACCAGCCTGGCTAACATGGTAAAATCCCATCTCTACTAAAGATACAAAAAATGAGCCGAGTGTGGTGGTGCACGCCTATAATCCCAGCTACTCAGGAGGCTGAGGCAGGAGAATCACTTGAGCTTGGGAGGCGCAGGTTGCGCTCCAGTGTGGGCAAGAAGAGCGAAACTCTGTCTCAAAAAAAAAAAAGATCCCCCCAGACAGTATCTGTGAAACACAAAATAACAAAGCACGATAAAACTCGGTATGCTTGTAGCATTTTTGGACAAAATTATGTCAATGAGATATAAACAATGAGTATATCAATAAGAAATAGTAAAAGCAAATCATTTGAGCCCTTTTTATTTAGCATGGAGATGATATGATAAATTCTGTAAGAGCACATCTTGGTTGTGATTTTTATTTATTTATCTATTTTTGAAACAGAGTCTCACTCTGTCGCCCAGGCTAGAGTGCAGTGGCGCCATCTTGGTTCACTGCATCCTCCACCTCCTGGGTTCAAGCAATTCTTGTCCCTCAGCCTCCCAAGAATCTGGGATTACAGGCATGTGCCACCATGCCTGGCTAATGCTTTTGTATTTTCAGTAGAGACAGGGTTTACACCATGTTGGCCAGGCTGGTCTCGAACTCCTGGCCTCAAGTGATCTGCCCGCCTCGGCCTCCCACAGTGCTGGATTACAGGCATGAACCACCGTGCCTGGCCAGTTGTAATCTTTATAATTGTAAGTAGCAGTAAGTGGTGTTGCTCAGATCAAGAAGAATAATACTCACTATGTTCAAAATTGTGTCATGGCTATGTCCCAAGGCAAAACCTTCAGCTGACCCTTCTATCAGTAGTCGTTAAGAAAAAGGTATGTACATATTTTTGCTAAATTGGATAGAAAATCTCACATTCTCTTTTTCACATTTTACGTAAAAGAAAGCGCATCTGATTAAACTGTCTTAAGTCATTTGTGTCTATGTCACTGTAATTTCTACCTTTTTAAAACTGTTGTTATTCTTTTTTCCTTTTCTGATTTAGGAAACTTCGAGCTACGTTAGATGAATATACTACTCGCGTGGGACAGCAAGCTATTGTCCTGTGTATCTCACCCTCCAAACCCAACCCTGTCTTTAAAGTGTTTGGGGCAGCACCTTTGGAGAATGTGGTAAGTGAGAACCAAGCTGTTCGCAGATGCCCTTTGCTTTCCGTCAGTTGCTCCCATTCTTCTGATCCTCTGTCTAGTATAACAGTTGGCATTTCTATTACCCTCTAATCCAGGAGTGTGAGTGGGGACTAGTTTTCAGACTACTTTATGCATATCAAAACAAGATTATTTCTGTTTTTACTTCCTATGTCAAGGTATTTTACCTCCCCAGATGCAATGGGTGGCCAGGGGAGGGTTTTAGATTTGTTTTAGCTTTTCGGCACTAGAGAAGAGAAGACATGCCAGATTTCATGGTTGTCAACAGTGTGACAGTAAAGGCTATTTCTCAGGCACCATTTTGAACTAGAAGCCTTCTACTATATTCTTCTAAGGAAAGGTCGTAACACATCCTAATTGTAGGGCTTCAGGAATTTTTGGAAAAACTCAAAACTCAAAAATGTTAAGAAATAACCACAACATTTCAGAGATAGCAAGATGGTGTGAAAAAAAATACAACAAACAGAATTTCTATCAACGGATTAGTAATTCTGAACTCAAAATTTAATGCCTATATTCAATATAGGAGACATCTAATGTCAGTTGATAGAAATTCTGTTTGTTGTATTTTTTTCACACCATCTTCCTATCCCTGAATGAGAGGGGGCAGGGAAACACGCTGTTTTCTTTATTAGGAGACTAATGCAGGATTTTGTAACAAAATTACTGATTTATATCAGAAACAAAATAGTAGATAATTCCAAGGTGTCAGCTTCATGAGGGAAACCTGGGGGCATTTTATTGATCATTATTTGAGGTACATATTTGAAATCTCCTACATTTCTTCAAAGAATTGATTTAATACTCTGCTCCAAATATAGAAATATATTTGAACATTTTGATTGTATAATTATCCAGAGCTAATTTTATAAAAATAGTCTTTTGCCCCTGTGTACTTATACAATGAGAACTATTCTTTCTCAGGCCACATTAACTTTGAATCATTAGTAGCATAATGATCTGTCAGGATTTAAATTGCATTTTGTTTTTATTAGGATAAAATTTATTAGCTTAAAATGACATTTATTAGATGTCTCCCATATTGAAAATAGGCTTGAGTTCAGATTTACTAATCCGTTGATAGAAATTCTGTTTGTTGTATTTTTTTTCACACCACCTTGCTATCTCTGAAATGTTGTGGTTATTTCTTAACATTTTTGAGTTTTGAGTTTTTCCAAAAATTCCTGAAGCCCTACAATTAGGATGTGTTACGACCTTTCCTTAGAAGAATATAGTAGAAGGCTTCTAGTTCAAAATGGTGCCTGAGAAATAGCCTTTACTGTCACACTGTTGACAACCATGAAATCTGGCATGTCTTCTCTTCTCTAGTGCCGAAAAGCTAAAACAATGCTACTACTGATAGTAATAAAGATGGTGCAATCTATGAAAAAGATTCACCCAGAAGGCTCAGAAAAATACTTCAGAAAATTACTTACTGCAAAAAATTGTTTTTAAGTTTGGGAAACTGTTGGAGTTCTCCATAGAATACAGGAAGATACAGACTCTGTTAAACCGGGTAGACTAGACTAAGATAAAAAGCTTTCACCTTTGACTGACATTGCTAAATATAGGTTAGGGAATGCAAGTACCAGTAAAATTTAGAAGCAGAATATATTTTCCAGAATACTAAAGAAAAAAGAAACAAGACCAAGGCTCTCTATAAAACACAGAAAACAAGGAAGGAGTTTTTAAAAACTAAATAAAACACATAGTCTAGAACACAATAATACAAGTGAGGCCAGTTAATTCTGTTATAAACCATACATATAAATGGGTTAAACTGCCTTGTTAAAGGCATAGATGTTCTTTCAGGTTGGAACAACAATCCAAATCAGACCCATCTCTGTTCAATGTATATGTCATACTCATAGCCGCTCACAAATGTTAAAAGCAGATTCAAGTAATAGAATCAAGAAAGTAAAAAGACAACACACAGAATGGGAGAAATATTTGCAAATCATAATGTCTGATTAAAAAAAACTTGTGTTGAGAATATATAAAGAATTCTTACAATTCAACAATAAAAAGACAACCCAATTTAAAAATAGATAAAAGGGCCGCACATAGTGGCTCATGCCTATAATCCTAGCACTTTGGGAGGCCAAAGTAGGTGGATCACTTGAGGCCAGGAGTTCAAGACCAGCCTGGCCAACACGGTGAAATTCCATCTCAACTAAAAATACAAAAATTGGCTGGGCACAGTGGCAGGCACCTGTAATCCCAACTACTCCAGAGGTTGAAGCAGGATAATCACTTGAACCCAGGAGGCAGAGGTTACAGTGAGCCAAGATCCCGTGCCACTGCACTCCAGCCTGGGAAATAGAGTGAGACTCTGTCTCAGAATATAATAAAAAAAATAAAAATAGGCAAAAGGTCTGAGTAGATATTTCTCCAAAGAGATATAGTAATGGCCAGCAAGCACATGAGAACTAATGATAAATAATCATTTGTTATTGATCACTATTTATCACTAGTCTTTATCACTAGTCATTAGGGAAATGAAAATAGAACCACATCGAGATACCACTTCATACCCACAGGGATGAGTATAATCAAAAAGATAACAATAAGTGTTGGTGAAGATTTGGAGAAAGAAAAGGCAAAATGGTGCAGCTGCTTTGGAAAACAATTTGTCAGTCTCTCAAAATGTTAAAAGTAGAGTTGCCATGTGACCTAGCAATTCTGTTCCTAAGTTATACCCAAGAGAACTGAAAACATGTTCACACACAAACTTGTACACAGTGTTTATAGCAACATTGTTGATAATTGTCAAAAAGTGGAAACAGCTCAAATGTTCATCAGCTGATAAATGGATAAATAAAATGAGGTATATCCATAGGATAGAATATTATTCAGCAAGAAAAAGGGAAGAAGTACTCATATTATACTACAGCATGGAAGAACCTTAGCAACATTCTGCTAAGCAAAGAACCCAGTCACAAAAGACCACATATTGTATGATTCCATTTATATGCAATGTCCAGGATAGATAAACCTTATTTATACAGAGAGAGTGGATTCGTGGTTGCCAGAGACTGGGGAAGGGGAAGAGAGGAATGGGGAGTGACAGCCAGTGGGCATGATTTTCTTTTAGAGGGAATGAAATGTTCTAAAATTAGATTTTGGCGATGATTTTAGGACCCTATAAGTATAAAGTCTTATGCTTTAAATGGGTGAATTGTATGGTATGGCAAACTGAATTATGACCCCCAGAGATGTGTAGGTCCTAACCCCTGGAACCTGTGAATGTTACCTTACATAGCAAAAATGCAGTTGTAATTAAGTTAAGAGTCTTGAGATGGGGAGATTATTCTTGATTATCCAGGTAGGCCCTAAACTTAATCACAAGTATCTTTATAAGAGGGAAACAAAGGGAGATTGGCATAGAAGTAGATGTGCTGGTGGAAGCAAGAGGTTGGACGTAAGGAGGGGTCCAGAGCCAGTGATACAGGCTAGACAGAGCTAGACAAGGCAAAGAGACGATTCTCCCTTAGAGAGGCTCCCTTAGAGCCTGCGGAAGGACCCAGCCCTGCCAACACCTTGACTTTAGCCAAGTGAAACCAAGAAAGTAAATTTGTGTAGGTTTAAGCCACCCAGTTTGTGGTGATTTGTGGGAGCCGTAGGAAACAAATCCATATAGTGTGTGAACTGTGTATCAGTAAAGCTGTTTTATAAATGTTAAAAGTGAAATGTAAAAAAGCAGGCAGAAGTCTATCAGAGAAATGCCTACAATAATAAATCATGGATCACAGCGTTAATATCAGACAAAGCCTAATTGTCAAGGCAAACAAGTATTAACTGAGAACCCAGGGTAATTTAGTTTTAATAAGAAGTATTTATTTATTTAGTGACAGGGTCTCACCCTGTCGCCAGGCTGGAGTGTAGTGGCGCAATCTCAGCTCTCTGCAACTTCCACCTCTTGGGTTCAAGTGATCCTCCCATGTCAGCCTCCTGAGTAGCTGGGAATACAGGCATGTGCCACCATGCCCAGCTAAGGTAAGATGTACATATTTATAATGAACCTTTATATTATTCAAGTAACTTTAAAGCAAAAATGAGACCAAGTACAGTGGCTCATGCCTGTAATCCCAGCACTTGGGAAGCCTGAGGTGGAAGGCCAGGAGTTCAAGACAAGCCTGGGCAACATAGTGATTTGGCCAAGATTCCTCAACTTCTGAATAGTAGAGTCAGGGTAAGAAAAGTTTTTTGTATATATAGAAGACACAAATAACATAAAACAGACATCAGAATACTTCCGAAAGATGTGACTGAAGAATAAGAAAGAGAAAACTCTTTCTTTGGATATCTTAATAGCACCTCAAACTCAGCATGTCTAAACTAAACTTAAATCCCGCTTCCCCCAGCCATTAAGGTGTTTCCAGTATTTGTCCCCACCCTCCCCCACCCCCCGCCACCCCATCCAGTTACGCAAGCCAGAAACTTGGAACCATTTTTGGCATCTTTCTCTCTTCTTTACCCCATAGCCCATCCATTATTTTGTTCTTCATTCATTTCCTAAATGTCTCTCAAACCAGGTCACTTTTCTCTATTTCTGTTGCTACCACCCTAGCTATCAGATCTGACGTCCATCCAGGTCCCTTTTCAGCGGCAAGAGTTCTTTACTTGACTCTAGCTGTCCCCAGCCTCATCTTGCCTTGCTCCCCCAATTCACTCTCCACTCAAGCCACAAGGCTCTGTTCAGTCTCTTGCACAGACTCTGCTGCTTTCCTCTGCAGAACTTTTGTGTCTATGCTCTTCCCTCTGATTTGCCCTCTTTTACCTCGTTTTTTACTTTATTGACTTTTACTCAGCTCAGTCAACACTTTATTCATGAAGCTTTCTCTGACCTTGCTGAGCAGGTCAGAGCACCCTATTCTATCCAAAACTCTCACAGGACCTCTGAACACTTACTAAAGACACAGTTTTATTTATCCGTGAGGTTATTCTATTAATGCCCATCCCAG